TCATAGTCATAAATAATCCTTGTGTGTAGCCTTTGGTTGAATTTCTGATTATTTCCTATAGATTGATTTCTAGAAGCAGAATGACTGGGTCAAGTTTATGACTTCTTTTAGGGCTCTTAATACAACCTAACAATTTTTTTTCTGGAACAGCTGAACTGATTTACTCGTCCAGCAGCAATGGATGTCTCATTATATGCTTTCCAGCATTGAGTAGTGTAATTTATTTTTCTTTACAGAATTGCAATATGAAAAATGATACATCATTCGTATTTTGTCTTACTTTGGTTACTACTGAGCTTGATTATATTTTTTGTTTGCTTATTAGCCCCTTGTAATTTTTATAATTTCTGTTCCATGAATTGTCTGTTCAAATTCATTATTTTTCTATTGGAATGCTCTTACAATTTTAATTTTATTGCAGTCAGTCCTTGTCTCCCCCAGTTCCTTTTTCATGTCAATTTGCTTTCTCTCTATGGCTTTCTGTTTTCATTCAGTTGGGTCCATGTTGTCTTGTACTCTAAATAAGAATGCCACATAATTTTCTGGCTTTTTTGCTTCTAGTTCTTATGTACAGTAAATCATGTTTTATTTTTGGAAATAAGTTTTATACTGCACCATAAAAATTCCAAAATTGATTACAAAAGTAAATGAACATAAAATAAATGACACTATATGTGCTTACATGTATTTATTAATTATGTAAAACCAATCTTTTAACATCTTTATTGGAGTATAATTGCTTTACAATGTTGTGTTAGTTTCTGCTTCATAACAAAGTGAATCAGCTCTACATATACATATATCCCCATATCTCCTCCCTCTTGTGTCTCCCTCCCACCCTCCCTATCCCACCCCTCTAGGTGGTCACAAAGCACCAAGCTGATCTCCTTGTGCTATGCGGCTGCTTCCCACTAGCTATCTATTTTACATTTGGTAGTGTATATATGTCAATGCTACTCTCTCACTTTGTCCCAGCTTACCCTTCTCCCTCTTCATGTCCTCAAGTCCATTCTCTATGTCTGCATCTTTATTCCTGTCCTGCCCCTAGGTTCGTGAGAACCATTTTTTATTTTTTTTTAGATTCCATATATATGTGTTGGCATATGATATTTGTTTTTCTCCTTCTGACTTACTTCACTCTGTATGACAGACTCTAGGTCCATCCACCTCACTACATATATCTCAGTTTCATTTCTTTTTATGGCTGAGTAATATTCCATTGTATATATGTGCCACATCTTCTTTATGCATTTATCTGTCGATGGACACTTAGATTGCTTCCATGTCCTAGCTATTGTAAATAGTGCTGCAATGAACATTGTGATACATGACTCTTTTTTAATTATGGTTTTCTTAGGGTATATGCTCAGTAGTGCAATTGCTGGGTCATATGGTAGTTCTACTTTTAGTGTAAAACCAATCTTTTGCTATAAAAGCTAGGTCATATTTTTTCTACATGTGCTGGACTTGCTAATGACTTCTAAAACATGGGCTTTTCTTAGTAAATCTCTCTGTAGCAAGTATAGTATTTCAGCAAATCACCCCAAATGCAGTGGCTTAAAAAAAATAAGCATTTATTGTCACTCTCTAGTCAGCTAGGAAGTTGGGAAGTCAGCTGGGAAACTGTTTTGATCTATTTTGGGCTCACTTTGCATCAGCACTCAGCCTTGCTGATCTTGGTTGGGCTCTCTCATCTGTTTGGGGGGCTGGCTGGCTGTAGGCTGGCCTGAGATACTTTCTCAGCTTAGACAATTGGCTCTCCTTCTGTCCCTTCCTCTTCTAGCAGGCCAGCCTAGGTGCTGCAACAGAGTGAGCAGAAGCAGGCAAAGCCTCTTGAGACCTAAGCTGACAACTGGAAATTTGTCACTTTTGCCTCATTCTATTGGCTGTGATAAATTACAAGTCCAGCCGAGATTGAAGAGTTGTGCAGATAGACTCCATGTCTTCATGCTACAGCTGGAAAGTCACAATCCAAAGGGTGTGGACAAGGAGGCAAGAATAATTGGAACCATAATTGTAATCAGACTACCCCACGTAGACATTCTTCATTTCTCCAAAAATATTTTAAATGAATTTTAAATTATCATAATCTTATAGAGAATTTTTTAGTTAATGCATTTGAATGCCCCAGACACCTTTAAATACTGAATGCTACTGAAAGTGAGGGGGTGAGTGGTCCTGTGGAACCATTAGTATCAGCTTCTCGGTCACAGTGATCAAGATGTCACATATCAAAAATGATACCATTGGTGGTACTATGGCACACTGGGCTATATTATGATTTGGCAGCATCTATATGTGGTTTGGTGAAAACATTTATTATATTTCTGTATATTATATAATCATGAGAAGAAAAATAAATTTACAAAGATGTTTTAAGTATGTCAAACACTGAATTTGAACAAAACTGTCAAAATCTTTTCAAATTTGTAATGAGAAAAGTTATCTCTATGAATATAGCTTAAGAATCACATTTGATGTTGGAAATGGCTAAATGCAATTCCTGATTTAAAAAATTTTAATGATAATCTGAAGAAAATTTGAAGAGAAACTTTTGATAGTTACCATCTTATGTGAACAAGAATCCTTGTTCATACAGGAAGTGTTAGGAAGCCATCCACTTCCAATAATTGTGGACTCTTTGTCAGTAATTTGCACCAACTTTGTAGTTAGGACAATGAAAGAAGTTGAATGAATTAAGTATTAGGATAGGCTAACTGTGGAAACAGACAACCCCCAAATCTCAGAGGCTTAACAAATAAACATGTGTTTCTTGCTCATATCACCATCCAGTGCAGGTTGGCCAGGAAACTGCTCCATGTGGTCCCTCATGGATCCAGGCTTCATCCCTGTTGTGCCTCCACCCTCCTTTAAGTCCTCAGAGCCCTCTCTTTTCAACCAGGAGATGAGTAAAGGAAGTGAGGAGTCTGTGTGGGCGCTATTTAAGGGCCAGATCTAGACGTGATGCATATCACCTTCTGTTGCATTCCACTGGCCTGAATTTGATCACATGGCCACACCTAAATGTAATCTAGTTGTGTGCCCAGGAAAATGAAGAAAACATAGATATTGGTAAGCACTAGCAGTCTTCTTTTAAAAAACAAGTTGAGCTGAACTGAACTTGCTTTTGGCAGCCTAGTTGGGTAGGGAGACAAAAGGCAGAGACTAAGGCCAGCCAAAGGTGGGGGACCTAGTAAACTGCTCTCTACTTTGGTTGGAGCCCTAAAGGACTGCACTCTAGGAATAAGAGTGAGCCCGAAGTAAACCAGCTCTCTGTGGGCTTCAGTCAAACTTTGTGTGAGCCAAGTAGTTCAGAATACTTTCAAGCCTTGAACTTGAAATTCTTTCTACAAGTGTTTCTTTTTTCAAAGAAAAAATACAGTACACAAAGTTAACCAAACATATGAGGAGACAAGACAATAAAATTAAAACACCAGATATTGGAATTATGAGTTCATATTTTAAACAACTAAGCTTACATATTCAAAGAGATTTAAAATGAAAGATAGGCTTGGAAATTTAAGTGTAGGAATCTAGAAAATATAAAAAGAGAGATATCAACTTTGAAAAAGAACCAGTAGAATTTCCAGAACTGTAAAGTGTGTAACCAAAGTTAAGAACTCAATGGATGAGTTTAAGAGCAGATAAAACACAGCTAGGGAGAAACATGGTGGAGTAGAATATAGGTCAGAGGAAATTATCCAAAATGAATCATGAAGAAGTGAAAAAAAGAAAATACAAAAGAAAGGATAAAAGAAATGGAGATGATGAAGTTTAACTTGGTTCATTTAGAGTAGCAGAAGGGGAAGAGAGAGAGAGAGAAAACGGAGCAGAGGTAATAAACACGTGCAGATGGACTGGATATTGTCTGACAGTTATGGAAAAAGGAAACACAGCGTGCTGGTCATCAAGCTCACGTGGAGAAAAATTGCTCAGATTAAGACACGATATCAATGGGAGCATATCCACCTGGGCCAACAAGCTGTAAATATTGTATACTATTGATTTTTAATTTTATATGAGCAATTTTTTATTTCCAACTCATGTACAGATCTCATTGTGTATATAGTATAATTTCCTGGAGAAAACAAATTTTGCAGTTAATTTTAATTATTTTAATTGTGGTAAGTATCGGGTTTAATTGTGGTAAGCATAGAAATGTCGATCTTTATGTTAAATTATTTTTCACCACTCATTTTCTTCAAAGGGTAGCAATAAATATATGCAAGTTATTTTTGATTATAGAAAGTTGGTCTGCAAAGATGAATCTAGTTTCCAATTCATTGCTTTAAAGAAAAGATGCACAATTAACATCATCCACTGTCTAATCTCAGGACCATTTCTGAGGTCCATATGTGTCTCACCTCTTTGTAATATACAGGGTGAACTCTTTACTGATAACACACAAAACAACAACCGTTAAAGGCAAAGACTTGCCTTTTGACATTACTAGGCCTTTGATCTGGGGACTCTGGTGCTCGGCCATGAGGGCTGAATATGAACTATTGGGGAATGCTGCCATTCATCCCATCCCCTCCCTCCCCCTTGTCTCCCTGGTGTGAAGAATCATTAGCTGAATGTAACTATACAACCAAAGTCAGATTTCATCCCAAATATCAAATCCATTTTCCTTTGTCAAACTTTAAAGGAGAACACACGCATTCATCTTATGATTTCTTTTTTTAAATGTCCCTGAAAAAAATCCTACTTCTATAGATTAAGAAAGCTTAGGGATAAAAAGAGAAATGTCCATGACAAAACTGATACTATGATCTCACACAGGTGAGGCATAAATGATAAGATGCTTGCTATAAAAATGATCTCCAAAAAAAGCATTATTGTTTTTGCTATTCAAAAGTAACACAAGTTCACTGGGGAAAAAAAGTCCAAAAAGTATAACAAAGAAACAAAGTTAATCTTTCATTTCACTATCCAAAGATAACCATTGTTAACATTATGGTCTATATCTTTTCTAGAATGTTCCTACATGTGTTTTCTAGGATATACAACAAAGGCTTACCTGGGGAGTGAGGAATTTGGGCCAACTAAGAAAAAGTGGGATTTTTTTGGTAGGTGTTTCAATTAATTTGGTGACAAATGGGTATAAAGGAAGGAGTAGGCCTGCTGCCCAGGCTATGTTGTGTTTTATTCATACACTCACTAATGCATTCAATAAATATTAAGCACTTCCTATGTGACAGGTACTGGGTTAGGAGCTGTTCATTATGTGGGCCTGGGGCTTTACCACACACAGGTGCTCGTGTTATTGCCACAAGACATGTGGGAAGGAGAGGGGCTGAGACATATGCTATTTTTGTCATCTACATATGACTTCATGGAGGGCTGAGGTGCCAGGAGGGCAGATATTTTGGTGGACCACAGACAGGAAGGACCATAGGGAGTGGCTCTTACCTCCTGAGTGCAAAGGCAGAGTCAGACTGGACTGTTGAACTGTTCACTTGCCTGGCTTTGTGAGCTGAGGAAAAGGTTATTTAATAGTTAATAAAAGAATAGCTATTATTTATTAAGTGTTGTATGCCAAACAGCACACTATGCATAATTCATTTTAGTTACTTCTCACATGAACTCTGTAAGTTAAGAACTAACATTTAGTGATCACTTACTGTGTAACCACCACTGTTGTAAGATTTTACGTGCAATCAATGCATCAAATCCTTGGGACAAACCTATGAGACAGGTTATGATCCCTCTTTTACAGATGAGGAAATGGAAGTTCAGAAAGACTTGCTCAAGGTCACATACTAGACGTGACAGACCATAATTCCAAAGTCCTTATGGTATTTTCTCTCACAACTATTTAACTTATTTAATTAATGAAAAATAGTATTTCTAACTAATAAGAAACCCCCATCTCTCCCCAGATTCAGTCCTGGGGAAGTTTGGTGAGTGTCACTTCTTAGACACTTCAACATCGAAGCCAGGATAAGAAAACAGACTCTTTAAATATATATATTTTAAAACTTTATGTTTTAAATTAATCTTTTTGGAGCTGATTTCTTTGGGGAAAAGAGTTCCTTCTTTGATTAATACATTTCATTCTTTTTCATATTTTTAAAGAAAAAGGTGATATTACTCTCTTCATAGCCTAAATTGGGATTTCTTTGGCAGTTAATAAACTCTCCTTTATTTAATGACTATTTTTTTATTGTGGTAAAATAATATATAACATAAAACTTACCACTTTAATCATTTTTAAAGTAAAGTGTACATGTCAATGGCATTAATTATACTCACATGCTGTGCAACCATCACAACTCTCCATCTCTAGAACTTTCTCATCATCCCAAACTGAAATTCTGCACCCATTAAACAACTTCCCCCAATGACTATTGTTCTTAAAGGAGATAGATAACTATATTAAGCTTAGTTTTCCTTACATGAATGAGCACATAATTGTATGAGGGATATGAAGGAAAGGGATATTTGCCAGTATAATGGCAAATGCAGAGCCTACTGACAAAGGTATATAATTTGTAAAAATAGCTGAGTGGGCAGAATTCTGATTTTCAGCTGCCCTAGGCACTTCAGTGCACTTCTGATAATGATTTTCCTTGGGCATGTAGTTATACTGATAGAAATCATATCCATGCATAAAGAGTGAGCTTAATTATACATAACTACATACCTAAGATGAGGTTTTACATATTTTTTTACATATAATTTCTGATTTACAAAAGATGAGACACTAAATTCTAACCGATCTCAGAAAAGTAGTATGGGTCACCCTCAGAGCATGAGTGTCTTATTGTATGAGTTCTCCTTTTTACCGGAAGACACTGTATATTACCTTCCCCCTCCCCCTTTCGGGAATTGTTTTCATTACGTGGGATTCCATAGTCTCATTCATCTGGTCCCTGCTGTGACTCTGAGGACAGGCAAATGCACAAAGGCTGGTTTTTAAGGTTTAGGATGTAGTCAGGGGGTAGAGCAACGCTACCTGGTCCTATTGAGAATGACACTTCTTCACACCTTCAACTCATTTGTACTGAGCCTAATCATTTGAGCTCGAAATAATAAAAATAAAAAGCAGCTAAAGTGGGTTGAGTGGTAATGTATGTTCCAGGCACTGTGTAAAATGCTTTGCATGCATTATTTTGTTTAATCCTCACAACGCTGTGAGATAGGAAACAATTCTCATTTTACAGATGGGAAAACTAAGGAACAGAAAGATTAGGTTACTTGCTGAAGACACACCATTTATAAGTCACAGACTGAGGATTCAAACCCAGGCTGTCTAGAGCCCTTGTTCCGAGCTGCTCTGTTAACACACTCTTCTGGTCCACATCAAGCTTGACAGCAGTGTTTCCTCATAACAGAGTCAAGGTTAGACCAAAATAAACCACACGCACATTCGAGCCCCTATGGCTGAGGTGAGCAGGGAGTCTCAGCTAAGGTCAGGCACTGGGTCTGGAGGTAGAGGCTGTCCAGCTAGGGAAGGGAAATGGAAAAGGCAAGGTCATCTCTTTTCTGGCCCCATTTGTTACTTGGTTGGTGAGAGGAGATGGGGGGAAGGGGCCTCTCTAAGCAGATTTCAAAGGCATCATGTCATTCTTTGTGCTCTCTCTCTCTGGTGGTGTGCCCCTTCGCCCTAGGCTCGTAGTTACTGCATCCTTCTTAGAACTGCTCTTCTTGAGGGAGCCACCTCCCCAGAGCTTCACTCTCCGATTCACTCTTACCTCCCCACACCTCCACTAGAAGTTTTCTGAATATAACTGATTTTAGCTGGTCATTAGGATAGTGCTGGCCTTAAATGGATGGACTCTAAGGTGAGAATGACCCTCCCCTTCCTTGCAATTCCCTGATTCTCCCAGGAACATAGCCCTGTCTACATTTCTGAAAGCAGGAGTTTTAATGCAAATTACCACCCTAGTGAGGGAGACATTTTTGAACAGATATTAATGAATTCTGCCAGAAATTGAGGAGGCTTAGCCATCTGTGTCCCAGGGATCAGTTGTTGGGATCCAAGAGCTTCCAGAGGCACCTGAGAGCAGCTCCTGGCATGCTAGTCTCCTCCACATTCTCGCAGGGCCAGAAACACTCTCCTGGCCCTGCTCATGGTTCCTGCTCACAGGTCACAGTCATCCACACACAACTTAAAATGAGGAGTGCCTCTCCGGGGAGTGTTCCTAACCCCAAAGAGTGTTCGCAAGTCATTTTCATAACTGTCATGAGTTAACTTCCTGTTTCAGGAGCAAGCACTTTACATCTGTAGGTGGCACCTTTGTGAATGGTTTTGTGGACCCTGAGTGCTGCATCCTCCTCGTGTGTAGAGGTAGCAGCTGCACCACGTTATGCTTGAGGTCTTGGTCTACTTCTGGTCATGAAAACCCTCTGGTATTCCTTACAGAGGTTAGCAGTGTTTACTACATTGTACTTGAGTAATTGTACCTCAAATTAAACGAAAAGTATTTTCTGATGCTTTTCATGCTGGAGCATAGTCTTTATTTCAAAATATTCAGCTGCCATGATAAGACAGCTCTATTTACCAGTAGTGACAGTTTGCAGTTGAGTCGTAGGAAGGATTTGTTAGGATGTGTTTAAAGTCATGTTGTATAAATAAAAAGAGTAAAGACTGGGTTTAGGATGGGGGCCTACAAGATACCAGCGGAGGCGGCCAGAGTTATTCTTTAACTTCCCACCAAGGTCTTGCCTTCTCTCTTACTTGTTTACAGCACTGTTACAGTATAGTGAATTCTTTCCTCAGCCTACTCTGAAAACACTGCCCCGTTTGGTCAAGTTACCCCAAAGCTACCACCTAGATCACACCATGACAAGAAAAAGAGATGTTTTCAACCAGAATTGGCTTATTTCAATTTTCTGTTCTTTATTTCATTTTAATTATAGCCACTTGGAGCCAGTGACTATTTGGAACTGTCAAAGAATTTTGATACAGTATTTTTACGAAACATTCCACAATTTACCCTGGCAAAGAGGACCCAAGCTCGGAGATTCATAACTCTCATTGATAACTTTTATGATTTCAAGGTAAGGATGTGGCACATTTTCTCAAAACTAAACATTTTGGACTGTGGAGCGAAATTATCTGGGCTGGAATCCTGGTCTACCACTTACTTCACTTCTCTGTACCTGTTTCTTCATCTGCAAATTGGAGATAATAATAGTATTTACTTCAGAGAGCTGTTGTGAGGACAAAATAAACTAATACAGGTAAACCATTTAAAACAACACTTGGCACAAGCTGAATGCTGTATAAGTACTATTTGGTAGTAGCAGTAATAGTAATAGTACTATATTAAAAATCCCATCATAAGACAGTCTGCTATATTACCAAATCCTTCATTCAACCAGACATATGCTCTGTCTATGAGGATGCACAGCACAATGCCTTACATAGATTGAGTGCTCAATAAATACTTGTTGCATGAATAAATTATTGGACTGGTAAAATAATGAACAAAATGAATGAATGAATGACTAAAGCACCCTCCTCAGTATTAGAGTTTTCTCTCCCTCTGACCCAGAAATCCCAGTACCTGTCATCTCTCTAAAAAAAAAATCCAGGTGTTTTAGCATGAATTGCAGAGCCTTTGTCCCTTCATCAGAGGCAGTATTGCCTAGTGGTTAAGGAGTGGTCCCTGGGACCAGACTGAATACCTTGAAGACCAGCTTAACCTCTTGAACTTGAATTGCCTTCTTTAGCAAAAGAAGGCAATAATGGTATTTACCTCATAAGATTGTTGTGAGGTACATGAGCATGTAAAGTACTTAGAACATCGTGTGGCGTACAGTAAGCTTTCAATGAAGGTGAGCCACGATTAATAGTATATACCTATAAATATATATTTACAGTAAAGTATAAGTACCACTTCAAATTAGAGTAAAATATTATTTCACTGTTAGATACAGTTTTTCCTCCTTATTCCTTGCACAGAAAGAGATAGAGCAGTGATTCTAAAATTGAAGGGACTTTGAGGGGAGGAGAAAGTACCAGAATCTGCTGGGAGGGAGAGGTGAGATGTTTAATGTTTCCTTTATTCATTCATTCAACAACATTTATCATGCCAAGCAAAGTGCTAATTCAGTGACAAGCAAAGCCAGACATGGTGCCTGCCTTCATGGAGCTGATAGTCTAGTGCTGAAGAAACACTAATGAAACACAGAGCTGAGTATAGAGTCCTCACTGGGATGTTCTCTTGGAAAAAGAGGGGAGTTGGTGCTATGAGAGTACAGGGGGAGAGTAAACTGATCTTTGTGTGGGACATGGGGCTGGGCATGGAAAGTCCTGCTGAGGACCAGCTGCACCAGAATCATCTGAGCTACTTAAGTTCCAGATTCCAGAGCCCACACCACCCCCACCAGCAAATGAGGACCAAGGATGGGGCCTGGAGCCTGCTCGTTCACCAGCTCCTCAAGTGCTGCTCACAAACTCTGAGATGTGATGGCCAAGCTCAAAGTGCAGAGTGAAAAGCCCTCACCGGGGCGGCGAGTTTGCAGCAAAGGCCCTGTGATGGGCCTGAGCATGAAGGGCAGCCAGCGTGGCTCTGGTGCAACACCGAGGGCAGCCTTCCTTAGTGAGCATGACCAAAATCTGCTGCATGCTTCCAGGGGGTGTGCGAGCAGGGAGTCAGCAGAGGCAGGAAGCTGAGAACACCAGAGCTTAGGGGTCAAGTCCTGTCACTTGTCTCCTTCTGGGTCACTCATCCAGAGACTCTGCTCTGAAATAATCGCGTGGAGTCCAGAATAAATCTCCTGGAGGTGGCACTCTGTTTTTAGAGGGCAGTGCTTCAAGAAGAAAGTGAGAGAGGGGCATTGGTAGGTGGTTCTTAGACTGGAGGATTGATAAACTCTTATTTTTTTTTTATCTTTTATATCTTTTAAGGAATACCTTAAAGAAAGCTTATGGTCCCCACCCCTTAGTCCCACCCCCTGATCCTACCTCCCCCCACTGTTTCACTTCTTCGTTAGACAAAAAGATTTATCTGGCAATATGATGAAATATCAGAACTACTCTCCTAACATTTGCTTTAACCAAATCACGCATTTGGAGTTTATACTCTTTTTTAAAGCATAGTCGAAATTATCTTATTTCAGAAATTGGGAGCATTAAACATTGTTCTAGAATGTATTCTAGATGTATCTGTGAAATAAGGGCATTCCCATCTGAGTAATGAAAAAAGTGTCATTTGTGATTTAAATCATTTATAAGAGGAGGTAGAAGGTTATTTGGATATAGAAAGACTAGTCCCAAACATCAATACATTATTTTGAAGTATCAGCATATTTACTTAAATAATGATTTTTAAAGGATGGCTGTGAATCCTGAAAACAAATTCAGGTCTCCTTAAACATCAAGAAGAGTATGTTTTATATATAAACTAGTGGAAATAAAATTTATAAAGATAAAAAAGCTGTTTCTGATATATGATCACATAGGTACACTCAAACACTATGTAATCAAGAAATATTAATGTCAAGCGTAGTCTTTTTGAAGGATGTCTGGCAGGATGCTGAAATAAATGTAGGTTCTGGAAACTCAGGGTATAAGTAGAGTAGCAATGCACTGAACTTAGCAGTCACCTACGCAGCAAAGTGGTAACGGTGCATCTGGGGAGCATCTTTGATGCACACAGAGATGGGCTCCAAACAGGTAAAAATGTCAACCTCAGTTGTAATGGAAAAACCACTGAACTTAGAACTGGAAGATCTGGGTTGGTGTCACAAGTTGAGACCTCTCCAGGCCCCAGGTTGCCCAATAAAAGCTTTGTTCCCTACTTCAGAGGGTGGTATAAGCTGTGTGGAAATATTTGGAAAGTACTATGCAGTTTAAAAGTATCACTTTAGGCCTTCCCTGGTGGCGCAGTGGTTGAGAGTCCGCCTGCCGATGCAGGGGACACAGGCTCGTGCCCCGGTCTGGGAAGATCCCACATGCCGCAGAGCGGCTAGGCTTATGAACCATGGCCGCTGACGCTGCACGTCTGGAGCCTGTGCTCCACAACGGGAGAGGCCACAACAGTGAGAGGCCTGCGTACTGCAAAAAATATTTTTAAAAAGTTAAAAAATATCACTTTAAAGAGACTCAAACTATAAGAAAAAATATGGACATGGTCAAAAGGCTTTTTTAAAAAGTATTTTGTTTCAAAAATACATTTGGAAACATCTGTGATCCTAGGCTATTTGAATATGGGTTATGTGGTTTGTCTATTTACATTTCAGAGGTATTCCAGAAATAGGAAAAAAGTTTTCCAAATATTGAAATCCACCTTAAAGAAATGCTGAGGCTTCCCTGGTGGTGCAGTGGTTAAGAATCCGCCTGCCATTGCAGGGGACATGGGTCCGAGCCCTGGTCCAGGAAGATCCCACATGCCTCAGAACAACTAAGCCCGTGTGCCATAACGAGAAGCCACCACAATGAGAAGTCTGCGCACCACAACGAAGAGTAGCCCCCACTCGCCGCAACTAGAGAAAGCCCGCGCGCAGCAAGGAAGGCCTAACACAGCCAAAAAAAAATTTTTTTAAAGAGATTTCCATATAATTATTTTTTAAAAAAGAAATGCTGTATTCATTTATTTATGCAAGATTTTTATTCATGAAGAAGATACAGTGTAAATGGATCCTGCCAGTTTTGAAACTTTGACAACCACATTTTGCTGATGCTTTTTTTTAGATGTTTAAGCATGGAGATTAATGAAATTTTTAGTAGCTTTAGGATAATTTAGGATAACTTCAGGATAATTAGCTAAAATCTCTAATTAGAAAAACAGATTAATGAAATAGGAAAAAAAAGTCATAGATTGAAGCTTTAAAATATTTATTTTTCCAAAATAAACATAGTACTTGGAGAAAATGTGTAGAAGTAGAAATAAAGTTAAGACTGTTACTTAGATTGAAAGAGAGGAGTTCAAGGCATTGTTCTTTTGTAAATACGCATTCTATGAACTTATAAGAGTATTTTCACCAAGTACCAGTTTTGCTGCATATATTTAGAACCATTTAAAATTATATATCACTTTAGGGCTTCCCTGGTGGCAGAGTGGTTGAGAGTCCGCCTGCCGATGCAGGGGACGCGGGTTCGTGCCCCGGTCCAGGAAGATCCCACATGCCGCAGAGCGGCTGGGCCTGTGAGCCATGGCCGCTGAGCCTGCGCGTCCGGAGCCTGTGCTCCGCAACGGGAGAGGCCACGACAGTGAGAGGCCCGCGTACCGCAAAAATAAAATAAAATAAAATTATATATCACTTTAAAGAGATTCAAACTATTAGAACAAATATGAACATTTTAAAAGCAAAAATCCAAGCTCCCTGTTATGACAAACAGATTTTTATGAGAAATTTGTTTTTACCTTCAACTTGTGAAAGGTAAGGAGTAACACCATTTACTCGTTTTCCTCTGTTTCAGGTGCGCATAATTTGCTCTGCATCAACTCCCATATCAAGCTTATTTTTGTATGAACATCATGACAGTGAGTTGGAGCAAAGCAGAATACTGATGGATGATTTGGGGCTGAGCCAGGTAGGCGATATTAACATAATCTCTTTTTATTATAAAACAGCTTAATTGTTTTTGGTTTGATGCATGGCTACATTTTGAAGAAGGAGTGCAGTATGTATTTAACCACTGATTTGCTGCTCTCTTCTAAAGCCAGTATAGCAGACGTATCCTCAGCATCACTAAATGTAGAGAATTACAGCTTTAGAGTGGAAGGAATCTTCGTGATCATTTTTGCATGATAAAAACAAAGTCCAGGGAGGCGGACTAATGGGCCTGCAGTTATACCACTGACTAATGGCAGGCCAGAGCTGGATCCAGGCACCGTCTTTGGCTCTGGGCTCATTCTGCATTCTGCTACACCATACTGCCTTTTCTGGATATCCTCTTCATGTCTGCTGGATTTGTAGAGTGCATGATACAGTATCCAACCATGTGAACTGGCTATTCCAGGACTATGAAGTGCCTGGCAAGGCCCCTGCTTTAAAAGAAATCCATGCTTCATCTCCTAACCCCCATTCTGTAGGCATTTGTGGAACACCTGTGGGTGCCAGGCTCTGGGGACACTGTTGGGAACCAGCCTATGCTGGCCTAGTCCTCCTGGAGCTTGGAGTCTGGTGCTTCACCCCAAGCCAAGCAGAAGTGACTTTGCATTTCCTTCTTCTGTATGTTACAGGGTATATTTCTCAACTGTAGGCAATTGAAATATTAGTCAAAAATTTTAAACTATAAACATTCACCCCCCGAATGAGGCCAGCCCCATTCTTTCGACCCCAGTGGTGAAAGGCTATTTGGAATGAGGAGACAGTTCCTTATTGACCTGAGTAGAAATTATGCATTCTCAGGAGTCTGGGAAAATGAGGCCAATAATTCTTTAAAAAGTAAACTTTCAAAATATGATTATTTAAATCTACATGTAGAAATAAATGGCTGCTTATGATCCCATTTCTCTAAGAGTGATACATCCAAATAAAGTCTTCAACAATTTGGAAGAATACACTTAAGGGGCTACATGATCTCAGTTCCTAAAGTCCTTTAAATCATTGGCTTTAAAATTTTTCTTCTGATCAGGGTTCAGATACAGGGCAAAGTAAGCTAAGCACTTGGGGCTAATAATCATGAAGAAATCAGGGCACGTGACCGTAGGGTGATGCAGTTTTACGGTAGGTCAGTAACTTGGACTTAGGAGTCCAGAACTTTTCTCTGAAAGAGTTTAATAGCAAACCCCTAAGGAAAGAGACAAAAGTTCAGCGTTCACTTCTGGCCACAGGCTGGTGTTAGAATCACCAGTCCCAGGATGTTTACTGGCCTCACAAGGGGCTCCCCAACTCAGCCGCTACATGGGAGGATCAAGTGTCCCAGCAGCTCAAGACCAAAAGCAGCTCTGGCCTTCCCGAAGTAAGCTCCCAGGCACGATCTCCAGGCCCACAGGAGACCTCTCAGTCACCCAGTTTGGAAAAGGTTCTTCAGAGGTTCATCTTCAGGCCTCCTGTCAGGAATGTGGCCCTGTCTGTGGAGCTTCAGGAGAGGGTCTTAGCTTTGTCCTGACATACCAGAACTTCTTGGTTTTTCTGTTACTTATTTCTGGTGTGCACTTTTTGAGAAAAAATTCCTTTCTGTCTGGAATGTCCTTCCATTAGATTATGTAGAGAACTTTCATCTGAGCAAAAATTTTCTTATTTGGATTTTGGGGTGTTGTTTCAGCTTTAATTATTCATCTAATGTTTTCTCCCTGGTAATTTGGTCTGTTTATTGATTATTGGTTTAAATTAGCTGATTCTCTAGTCTAATTTAAGAAATTGTATATGAAAAAAATTTATAGAATATTTTGTAATATAAACCCAAGAAGTATTTTTTAAAGCCTGTACTTAGTTCTTTAAATTTTTAGTTGTGGGGGTTTTAATTGGTGCTAGGTTGTTGTTTTGTTTTGTTTTTTGGTAACCAGGACTCAGCAGAAGGACTCGCCATGTTTACTGGAGAAGAGGAAATCTTTGCATTTCAGCGCACAATTTCCCGACTCACAGAAATGCAGACTGAACAATACTGGAATGGAGGGGACAGAAGGAAGAAGTAGCCGTCACTTTTGCATGAATAAAACTCTGGGCAAATCATTACCGCAGGGAGAACTCTTTATTATGGGACTTGAAGGAATCATTTTCTCATCATTAATTAAGCACTTTGTCCTCTGGACCATTTTTATCTAAAATTGCTGTCAAAGATGTAGTGGATTAGTAAGTTAAAGCCATTTTTAGGTCTACTTTTTGCCTATTTATTTGGCCTTATTTCTGCACCACAAAATTAAAATCAGCACTCCTGAAGTTGAATGTAGGACTAGGCATTTTGGTTTCATATTAAGCCACCTGAATGAACCTTGAACACACACACACGTGGTAAATGCAGGGTGTTGGGAAATCTCTAAGCTTTGGCTACATGGTAGCCGCACAATAGAAACACATCTTTATGAGAGGGGAAGAAAAAACTCTACATTTCAATTAAAAACAAGGAAAGCTTTATGATCTTATTTCTTTTCTTTTTCCCCCATGGTACTTTATATGACCCTGGCTTTTCTTTTTAATAAACATCTTTATTGGAGTATAATTGCTTTACAATGTTGTGTTAGTTTCTGCTGTATGACAAAGTGAATCAGCTATATGTATACATATATCCCCTTATCTCCTCCCTCTTGCATCTCCTTCCCACCCTCCGCATCCCACCCCTCTAGGTGGAAACAAAGCACCGAGCTGATCTCCCTTTGCTATGTGGCTGCTTCCTACTAGCTATCTATTTTACATTTGGTAGTGTATATATGTCCATGCCACTCTCTCACTTGGTCCCAGCTTACCCTTCCCCTGCCCCGTGTTCTCAAGTCCATTCTATACATGTGCATCTTTATTCCTGTCTGGCCCCTAGGTTCATCAGAACCTTTTTTTTTCTTTTTGTTTTCTAGATTCCATATTTTACGTGTTAGCATACGGTATTTGTTTTTCTCTTTCTGACTTACTTCACTCTGTAGGAAAGCCTCTAGGTCCATCCACCTCACTTCAAATAACTCTATTTCATTCCTTTTTATGGCTGAGTAATATTCCATTGTATATATGTGGCACACCTTTATCCATTCATCTGTCTGTGGACACTTAGGTTGCTTCCATGTCCTGGCTATTGTAAATAGAGCTGCAATGAACATTTTGGTACATGACTCTTTTTGAATTTGGTTTTCTCAGGATATATGCCCAGGAGTGGGATTGCTGGGTCATATGGTAGTTCTATTTTTAGTTTTTTGAGGAACCTCCATACTGTTCTCCATAGTGGCTGTATCAATTTACATTCCCACCAAAAGTGCAAGAGGGTTCCTTTTTCTCCACCCCTTCTCCAGCATTTATTGTTTGTAGATTTTTTGATGGTGGCCATTCTGACCGGTGTGAGGTGATACCTCATTGTAGTTTTGATTTGCATTTCTCTAATGATTACTGATGTTGAGCATCCTTTCATGTCTTTATTGGCAATGTGTATATCTACTTTGGAGAAATGTCTATTTAGGTCTTCTGCCCATTTTTGGATGGGTGTTTGTTTTTTTGATATTGAGCTGCATGAGCTACTTATAAATTTTGGAGATTAATCCTTTGTCAGTTGCTTCATTTGCAAATATTTTCTCCCGTTCTGAGGGTTGTCTTTTCGTCTTGTTTATGGTTTCCTTTGCTGAGCAAAGGCTTTTCAGTTTCATTAGGTCCCATTTGTTTATTTTTGTTTTTATTTCCATTTCCCTAGGAGGTGGGTCAAAAAGGATCTTGCTGTGATTTATGTCAAAGAGCATTCTTCCGATGTTTTCCTGTAAGAGTTTTATAGTGTCTGGCCTTACATTTAGGTCTTTAAACCATTTTGA